GTATATATAAATATATATATATAATATATATATAATATATATATATATAATATTATTATATATAAATATATAGATATATATATAAATAAATTTATATATATATATATATATAGATAGATATATATATAGATTATATAATATAAATAATATATATAATATATATATGATATATATTATATATATATATATATTTATATATATATATTATATATATATATATATTATAATATATATATATAATAATATAATGTATATAATATATATATATATATATATAATATATATATATATAATATGTATATAATATGTATATATATATATATATATATTATATATATATATATATATATATATATATATATATATAATATGTATATAATATATATATATAATGTATATAAATATATATATATATATATATATATTTATATATATAATGTTAATATATATATACACTTATATATATGGGTATATATATTTGGGTTTTTCATTTTACACTTTTCAGTGGGAAATGCAGCCCTTGGCTTGGTTTTTTCATTTTTATTCTCTTTTAAAATCCCTTCTATGTGTGTAATCCACAATGCATCCCCCCCCCCCCCCAAGTCTCTGAGGTGTGTGGTTATGTTGGAAATGAGTATCAAAAATAAAATTAAGCATAATAAGATAATACAAAATAACTTTGCAAAGGGGAGGCATAGAGTTGTCACCACTCACAAGTGCCACATACACGGCTGTGCAGCCACTTACGTAACCCATGTTGTTTTGTATGATATACCACTGAGGAAACATTTGGTAATTCTTTACAGTACAGAAGCAATAGCCAGAGACTGTGTCCCCAACTCCACTTCACAAAATTTATTCAACAAGTTGCCCTGAGTGGAGAGGGTTGATGGGGAGGCTCTGCCCTCCCAACACCCTTGGAGAGCAAGGCTGAGAGTGGCACTTTCCGCAATTTTTTTTTCATCCTCTGTGGCAATAGTGTGCTTGTCTGCAGATTACTATTTATACTAATAACTACTACTTTTAGTCCTCTATAAGAATATCATCTTCAGTTTGCCCTACCTTAGTGTGTCTGTACCATAAAGATTAACCAAACATCTCACCAGTTCATTACACACTGCACAAGTTTGAATGTGCACAACCACAGTGACACGACTTTTGTATCAGATGGCACTGATGAATCGTGTATCATTGCATTGTACTGTGACATCACACCATATTTTGAAGTGCGTAAAATGTAAATAGATTAGAGAAATTAGTTAAATTGAAATGTAAAGGACTGTAAATCATAACACATAAATATATATCAAACAAAAGATGGTAGCAGACATACTACTTTCCAGAGCACCATCTGAGTGTGGTTTATTTCATTGCTGATAAATGAAGAAGGAAATACAGTCTCCGAGTGACAAATTTTAGCAACTTTATTATAATCTTGTGATCTAATTATGTCTTTCTGTGCTTTAGATTTTACTTTCTTAATGAGTTTTCATATTCTTCTTTTTTAGTAGCATTTCATATTTTTTACTAAAAATCCATGTCCTCTAGATTAACCTAAATTTCCATTCATAGGGCTTGGATGATCCATTTAAAGGCTTGGGTTGAATTTGATATCAGCCGCATGTTAAATGAAAATGTTATGAATGTAATTTTAGAACATTTTAATTAATCACTTATATGGTGTACCATTTGTGATTATAGTACTTCCACGACTTTTTGAAAAGGATAGCAAACATTTTCCACACTGATGATAAACCTCCATGATTGTGTTGTCAATGTATGTCCCACATTGTCTAAGTATTTCCTCTTCTGGAACTAATACAGCAGTCACACATGTCTTCACAATACAAAAACTGGCTCAGAACAGTAAGCAGCTTGAAACTATCCTTCCTCACTATTGGGTAGTTTTCATTATTGAATGTCTGTTAAGGAATCAAATATTCAGGAATGGTTTTCCTCTTATTAATGGCTCATTTCCAAATAGTGATTCATTAGAGTAAACAACAAAACATTAGGTTATTTATTACCAGTGAAGGAAGAAAGTTGAAGAAATTGCAGCAAATATCATATTTGTATCAAGTAACCTTTAATCCCTACTGTCTGGGTGATGTGACCATCAGATTATGAAAAAATTTGGCTAGAGGATAAAAGGTGTGAACATGCTTTCATGGACAAATTTGTCTGAGGACTGAGGTGACAGGAAAACACCAACATGAATATTTTGGCAGAAGGCTAGAGTAACTGGTATGACTTGCCATGAATTCACAAAACTCTTGGAGGGTGATAAGACTCTGTGGGTATTTTGTAATGGGCTCCTGTATTATTTTTATCAGTAAATAAGTGTGGACTGTACCATCCATGAGTCATGGCTGAAAAAGTGCCAGCTCCAGGGAGGACATTATTTCAGTGCTCGGGATCCTAATCCTATGTACCGTTAGTGCAGGTTGTATCACAGAAAATTGAATATTAGAAAAAAAATGAGAATTACACAGATGACCAGATATTAGTTATTATTATTACTACTATTATTTACAAGCTGAGTTATTAATTACCTAAAGAGGTGATATTGAGTGTGTGCAAGGAAAACAGTCTTTTACCATCAGTATACAGCATACAAACATTGAAAAATGGCAAAAAAGTAAAAAAGCTTATGTAGAAAGAAACAGCAACTGTCAAGGGGAGGCAAGGCGTTATAAGTGTTCATGTGTATCTGGCCTTCAAGCCACATGCCTGTGAGAGTGACTACTCAAGTAAGCCTATTGCCTGCCTAACCTCATTCCTTCTTAAGGGGAACATCCGTAAGAATTGGGAGTTTGTGGAGTCTGGGGGGGTTGTGTTTGTAAAAAATGAGTTAAACCCATTTTCACACTCGTATAGGAATGTAGAATTTCTCACCTGAATATAAACCTCCATAAAAAAAAACTCAGCTGTGACAGGTTCAGTGAATCTTAGGCAGTCATTCTTGGTGTCATCGGAGGGGTTAGGAGACAGAGACTGAGGCCCAATGTAGGGGATCACCCTACCTTAGACCTCAGCCCTCTTCTCAACTAATTTTGCTTGGTCTTTTCTTCTCTCCTTTCCCATTTTGTATCTTCTTCATCCCCTTCTTCTATCCCATTCCTTAGGTGTGAGAGCCATGCTGAAAGGATGAAAGGCTGGCTTTGTGTCAGTCATGAACGGCTTTCGGGAGCCATGGGCATATTATTCCCTTGGTTAATTATGAAGCCCTTACCCCTTATGGGGGGCCCTGAGGGGTTGACCATTTCTTTTTCCCATTTTATTCAGGTACACAATGGCCAATAGTGAAGATTCTTTATCCTTAATAGGGGCATTAAGACTTGTCCTTTCATCAACTAGCCTATCTAAATTTGATTTTGATGGTTTTCCGACCCCTGTTCCTCCTTTGACCACAGCTCAAACCACGGATCCTAATACCCCCTCTTCGATGCTTACTGACAACTCTATCCATTCCAGAACACTATATATATACCCAGGTTATTACTCAACCCCCAGAAAGCACCTCTTCCTCTCTCCCAGCATTCTCCTCTCCATCTCCTACTGCACAGTCCTCTTCAATGTCTACCCCCTCTTCCCCCCAGAACTCTTCAATCTCAACCCCCTATCCCCCCCCCCCAATTCTTTTGGATCAATTCTTTTGATCCAAGGTTACTGTTTGGATTCGCTCTGATCATTCACGCCTTGTCCCAGTTACATATAAATCCCAAGCTTGTGTACTATCTACCCTAACTGACCTTACTGGCAAACCCATACCTGCTGAACCTCACCTCTCTCATAATACTTGTACAGGAACTGTTTCTATTCCCCCAAATGCTTGTCCTGTCTACAACAAGGACTGGTCAGATAGTAAAAATGGCCTCCTTACCTGCCTTGCTGATTATGATGCAGTGGCAGTACAGTGTTACACTATTGCTCCCAGAGGCCAGTGTGGTGATTTCCATAAAGGTGCTGTCACACTAGCACTTTTTCCGCCAATTTTTTACAATTTTCTGAAATTTTCTCCATTTTTGAGCGAATTGTCGATTTTCCAGTCAGACAATAATGACCGTTTCCGTCTGAAAACCTCTCCATCAACTTTTTCAGCCAAGCATAGTCAAATCAAGAGCTAGATTTGAGAATGTTTGTATTTATGTTAAATAAAATTGTCAAAAAATTTACGGAAAAAGTACTAGTGTGACACGGCCTTAACATATTTTATGTAAGCGGCCCTGCCTGTAAGCTCAATTTAAGGTTGCAGTTTTCAGATTCAGATTAGACCTCACTCTACGTGAGGCTAGACAGGAAGCATGATAGCGAGGTTTTTCTCTTTCTGCCTATTCCAAAACAGTCCTTTGCTTCTTTGCCATCCCCCATCTCCACAAGATATGACCTTAGATGTCTAGCACATTTTTTTGTTTCAATTATTAACAATTAACCCTTATTCATGTGTGTAGTTTTATAGTTAATTAGATATAATTTTTATTGAAGGAATAGATAATGAATATCCATTGAAGGAAAGATTCAGAAAATTTCCAAAAATATTCACAATTTTTCCTCAAAAATAAGTTTTTGAGCTTCTGTACCACTATTCTCAAACAGTTTATATCCAGTCTAAGATTTGTTCATATCATTGGAAAGCTAATGAAATTCCTCAGAAGTTGACCATGATCTATTACTCACAATAATCTTGTTTTTGCATTGCATCATATTCCAAAAAATTGTTTTTTCAACTTTTTGTAAGAGTCACTTTACTAAATTTGTCATAACTTAGGAACCAATCTCCATGTCTTCATCTAACAATCAGCATTAGAAGAGAAATGAATGTAGTTTTTCTGGTAATTAGATGATAGAGATTGATTTAAGGAAATTAACAGAAAAATAACTGGAACGTCCAATCTTTCCCTCCTCGAAAAAGGAAAAGAAATAATATAACATTCCGTATCACTATTCACAAACATTTTACTGATTAAAATATTGATGTTATCATTTGACAGCTATTAAAAATGTGCAAAGTGATGTTGGCATTTGTACAAATGTAGATTTTTTTTTTTTTTTTTTTTTTTTTTTTTTGAGAAAACTTTTGTAGCAAATTTTGTAGAAAATGAAGCATCAGTCTGTTTGGATTTTATCAATAGTTAAGCTGATTTTTACTAATAGTAGTACACTAGCGACATGTAGAAAAAATGGCTGAAAAAAGTTTTTTGAGGAGGCTATGGGGGATTTGTATAAATTTAGTACCAAAAGGTGCAGAATGGAAAAATACATAATATAGCCAAATTTAAAGAAAATCAGCAATTTTTTTTTTATTATTATTATTATTATCCTCCCCCCCCACTCCATTTTGTCCTCCCCATTACCCCGCTACCTTCCCTATTTTTACAGTTTTGAAGTTTATATTGATGGAATGACCTACGCTGTCCATATTGATGCTTTCTGTGCCAATGTCAGAAATGTTGGCGTTATGGCTAACCTGCTAAGCACTGTCTCTCCAATTGCCTGCTACTTTCTCTATGCCCAAGCTTGTTGTGACTTTTCAAATTTACAGTCATTTGTGATGGCTCCTATTATGTATTTTATAGGAGCTGCCCTGCCTACGAGCTCAAGTCTGAGGTAGCAATTCTTAGACTCAAACTATGCATCACTTTACACGAGGCCAGACCCCTTTCCTCCTCTACTTGGTCAATATACAGGAAGCCTGTCAACAAGTTTGTTCTCTGGCTTCCTATTCCAACAATGTCTATTGCTTCATCTTCTCCCTTATTCCCAAGATTCCTGCCCCAATAGCTCTTCCCCCTTACCCCTTACCATCCTACCTCTACTCCCTCTCCCAGTCTACATCCAGAGACTCCAATATCTACCACTTGCCTGATGCCTACACCTCATTCTCTCACTTTACCTATTACATTAGACAATCTAAATGTTCCACCCAATCTTCTCCCACTGCACCCTCTCCTACACCCACAACTTTCTCTGCTCCTCGAATAATTGTCTCCATTTCTCCTCATAAAAGCTTTTTCTCAGAACTCTTTGCCAAACTTCTCTCCAGAAACTCTTGAGGACATCTGTATCTTCCTAACCTAAATAATAACCCAAGAGAATGCTCCTCTCTCCCAACCTCCCTCCAATCACCATTCCTTCTACATTCAAAGTAATTGCCAATATCCATCCTCCCCCTCCTCAAGTTCCCCCTACCCCTCTCCCTCCCACTCTCTCCAGATCCTTCCCCTCCTGACTTTCTTCCTGATACTTCACCTCATTCCTCTGTTCCTATCTCATTCCTAGGATTCTTCTCAGACATTTCTACCTGCTAATTGCTTAGTAATAGCTCTTGCAGCGTTCCTCGTACAACATTCATCTTCCTTCCTCAGACGCATAGATACTATCCATTTGATCTAATCACCCTTCAACCCTTAACCCCTTTCCTCCTTTATTAAATTACACTTTACTCCAATTGCTTCCCCACTTTACCTTTTTTACTTCTTTACTATCCTATAGTGCGTTACAACCATTGACATCTAACACTTGTCCTAACCTTTAACTCACTTTACCCTTTTTGCTACAATGCTTTAACATATGACCTTTAATGTCTAGCATATTTATTCATTTTAACCATTAATCATTAACCATTATATTACTGATAGTAATGTCAATAGCATTATGATGATTATAATATCTATAATGACATCTGCATCAATATTGATAACATTATATTTTAAAATTAAAAAACAAAATCTCAAGAAAAGGCAAAATCAGTGAGGTCACAAGGTCTACTAATTGACTCCTTGATGGTTGAGCATTTTTGAAGTCATCTATGTGTAGGGACATTTCACAAAAAACAACAGTGAACACTTTATTTGCCAGGCAAGATTGGGCTGAAATTTTGAATTTCAAAGAATTTGATAGTAGTGATTTCAGAGTAATGAAGTTCTTCTTTGCCTCTTCCAGAACAGGTTGTGGTGGTATCAATAGACCTGAAATGGGATGTAGACTTCTCCAGCAAAGTCATCTCAGGCTTTGCCACTTTGACAGTGGAACGGAAGCAGGACGAAGCTCAGCACCTTGTAAGTCTAGGACCAATACTTATATATGTATGAACACTAATGGTGCATGTATAGACAGTAAAGTGAAGCAGAATTATTTTACTAAAAAAATTTACTGTTGCCTTCATTATTTTTTAGTTGAAGGAAAAATACTGGAATGATACATTGACAGTTATGAAATCTTATATTTCACACTGTTTTCTTGTATCTGTTTAACTTTTTTTTCTTAATCCTCTTAAATAGTGATGAAATTACTCTTCATTGTCAGATTCTGGATGCTCGTGACTTGAGCATAAAAGCAGTGAGGGATGAGGAGACAGGTCAGGTCCTGCAGTACACACTTGGTGACTCTCACCCGAACTTTGGATCCGAATTCAAGATCAACCTGCCATCAGACACCAAGAAAAAGTATGATTTAGGGCATAATTATTTTGTCATTTCTTGTTTACAAGCTGTGGAATATCTTGAATATGAATATGTGAAAGTTATTAGGAAGAAATGCATTGGTATAATGTAGTAATATCAATTGGTTAACCATAGGGATTTTTTGATACTTCAGGTACAAGGTGCAGATTGAGTATGAAGTGTCCCCCAAAAGCTCTGCACTTCAGTGGTTAGATCCAGAACAAACAGCAGGGAAAAAACATCCATATCTCTTCTCACAGTGCCAGGCCATACACTGCAGGTCTTTGGTGCCATGTCAGGTAAGATGAGATATTGTGGACCACATTTACCAATTTATTATACAAACACCTGGCACCTATTGTGACAATGGAATTAAAGCAGTATAAGTTAAGAATTTCTCTTAACCCATTTACACCACTTGGTGGGAAGTGGTTAATATAAACCACATGTAGCCACAAATTCCATTCCCTTCTACCAATTATACCCCCATTTCAGTACACAAGCATGTTCTGGTATTGTTACCAGCTCTTTATGTAATTGAATTCACAAAGTATTAAATTAGAAATGCCATAATGGATAACATCAGATAGTAAAATTGCTCTTGTCAAAAGATGAAGATTTTATGCTTTTTGTGGCAGGTCAGCTACTAGACCAAGAAATAAGCATTGGGGATAATGTTACAACTCATTGCCTATGTGTGGCATATATGTCTTGCTATGCTGAGAATGGCAGGACATATGTCATGCCATTATCATCTTAGTCCAATCATAATTTATAGCTCTTCTACCATATGGACAATTCATACAGGACTTGACGTATATGAAAACAAGCATACCTATTTTCCACACATGGTATACACCATCCTGTTTATATGCACTTTAGAGTTAGTAAAGCTTTCCAGGATTTTCACCAGCACTGGGGCATTGGTTAACATTATTAATTACCTGAACAACTTTACTTACTTTAATACATAAAGTTTATTACAAGCAAAAACAGTTCCTGGAAGAGACAAAGGACTTTTTAAAAATTCAGGCATTTTGTACCATTTGCATTGAGCTGGCAGTGAGGACTATAACAAACGTGATACTGTAGGCCAAGTGTCAGATGTGTCATCAAGGCATCTTTATAAACCTGAAGGAATTTGTAATCCCCCCCCCCCAAAAAAAAAATATATATATTTTTTTTTTTTTTTCTTCTTCTTTCTTTCTTTTTTTTTTTCTTTTTCCTTCTATTTACCAGTATGTTCAGATTTTACACTAAATATTAAGATGATAATAGGGTTCTGAAGACATATGGGATAAGCCCCATAGGTACCCTTTTCTCATAGGCCAGCAAAAATGGCAGTAGGAATGTTCATATTTTAATTTTGATAATGATGCTTAGATTTTCTTGAGAGTAATTTGCCTCCCTTTCATTTCTATATTTATATTAAGAAATCTAACCAAAATATTCAGATAAGTTTTCCTAAAGTGATAATAGAATATATCAAACTCACTTGGAATTATATTCCAGAAAAACACTTTTAGGAGCCTCAATATTTTTAAATGGAAAGAAAATTGAATCCAGTTTTTAAAAATGGTTAACCCCTTGGACCCGGATGACGTTGTGGTAACGCCATGGAAAATTTTGGCAACTGCCTGGGTGACGTGAGGATGCCGTCAACCGGGCAAATGGACTGCAGCTCGAGTGACGTGAATAAACCGTCGAGAGCGAAAGCCAGGGTGATGGAAAAGACTCGCCATGAGTGTACAAATCTCTTGTTGTGTGATTTGACTCATTTGGTGCTTAGAAGGAGCTTTAGCATTATTCCCATCGATAAACGAATGTGGAATGTAATGTGTGTAAGGAGTGACTGGAAGAGTGCCGGCTCCAGGGAGGTCGCCATTTCCATACTGTGAATTGTATTCCTCACCACTGTGACTGAAAATTACAAAAAGAAAAGAAGAGATATATGACACAAATAACCAAATGTTCCTTCTTCTTTTTTTCTTACACTGAGCTGTTTACTACAGAACAAGATGATATGGAGTCTGTGCAAGGAAAATAAGTAATTACCATCAGGATAAAGCAAATCAAAAGACAGATATGGACATTGGAAAATGACGATAAAACTAAAAAAGTTTACACAAAATAACTATTCAAAGGGGAGGCACAGAGTCTTGTCATCGCACATGGAAGTTCGTGCGCACCCAGCTTACGCACTGCACTCCTGGGATGCTGGCAACTTATGTAACCCATTGCCCAGGGTTTTTCAGCTCTGTTATTTCCGTCATGCAACCGGATTGAAGGGGTTAAGTTGAATTAATATAAGACTAAACTATTACTATTAATGAGTTATTGTGGCAGATGGAAATCCTGAAAGGAGTTTGTTCCCTATCAAATAAGAAGGTCCAGAAATCCAGGGCATGTAAATGTAAAATTTAATGTATTATCTTCTTCCATCATGCCATGCACAATAACAAAATTATGAGAATTGCACAGTTAGTTTCAGTCACAATATAAACATTATTATACTTTTATTTAGAAAAGATGAAGCACCACAATGTTAATATTGAAGTGCATGGTCATAATACTAGCTTTATTAGGGGTGGGTTGTCCATGGACTCAGTGGCTAGGCCTAAGCTATGTAATGCAGCCCACTTATTGGAAGTCATGATAAATATATATGACATAGGCCATTATGTCATGACAGCTAGGGCCTTCCCTGTCTCTGAAGGGTTAAAAAAGAGAGAGAAATAAAATGGTAATGATTATGTTATGATAGGCAACCTTCATAACAGACTAGAACTGTTTACTAAAGTACTGCATCATATATTTTATATTCATTTTGAAATGAATGAAATGGAACAGTTTTTATAGTGAATATCTTTAAAAAATTCTAAGTGAGGCAAAGCTGTATTTCAGGATCCTAAAGCATATCTGACTTTATGTTGTGTACTTTGGACAGCTTTCTTTTGTGTATCTTAAGTGGAATAGATATTTATATTATTATTTATTTTCCTCATTTTCACTTTATTTTATTTCTTTTTATTTCAGGATACACCAGCAGTAAAGGCAACAATACACAGCAGAAGTGAAAGCCCCAAGCGAATTGGTGGTCTTATGAGTGCGCTACGAGATGGCCACAAGGAGGAAGGAAATGGGACTGTTTTCAGGTAGTCATTAGTTGTCTTTGAATAAGCAGTTTGTCAAGTTTGATACTTAATAGAATTAAAGCAGTAACTAGGTTGCAGAGAGTAGTAAAACGGATAGGCTTTGTGGAAAAAGAAGAGACAGACATGCAGTTGTAAAATGGGTAGCACTAATCAGAAATTATAACAAGATTGTTATCTCTTCTTTCTAGTTTGCACTAAAGTTTTGTTGAGATGTGGAATGAGGGAGAATTTTTCAGTTGATGAGCGAGGTCTAAGGTCAATGAGAAGACTGTATCAGATGTTAGAATGGTTTATAAAGATTAAGAAAGTGACTCGAGTATTAGAGCATTAAGAGAGGAGAGAGACAGGGATGTCTGATATTACCAAATTGGTTTTTATATAAAGTGTGATTCAAATACCATTGTGAAGTACTTAGAAAGGAGATCACAATTTTTAGTTGGTAAAGTACACTGCTGATACAGTTCAGGGAACCAGGAGAAATGATTTTATTTATAAAAGTTATTCATTTAGGAATTAAACTGAATATGAAATAGAAATCAAAGGATGGAATATTAACCCATTGGATCCGGTTGTGTCAAGGAAAACACAGTGTTGATAATTGGCATTGGATTACGTACTGCCAACATCCCAGGTGTGCGGTGCATAGACGCGGGCGTGCATGAACACCCATGAGCAGTGACAAGAATCTATGTCTTCCCTTTGCAAAGTTATTTACTGTAAACTTTTTAGCCTTTTGGCCATTTTCCAATGTCCATATTTGTCTTTTGATTTGCTTTATCCAGATAGTAATAGCTTATTGTCCTAGCACAGATTGTATATCATCTCACTATGTAGTAAATAATCAGTGCAAGAGAAAAAGGATGGAACATTTGGTTATTTGTGTCACATATCTAATTTTTTCACAATTCTCAGTTTTCCCTAATACAACCTGCACCACCAGTCACAGCAGCCAGGAATACTGTGGACAGCTTGGAAATGGCGTCCTCCTGGAGCCGGTGCTTCTTCCAGTCACTGCTTACATACATTACATTCCACATATTTATCAATGGGAATAATGCTAAAGCCCCCTTCTAACTGCCAAATGAGTCAAATCATTTCCATGAGGTTTGTGCACTCGTGGGAAGTCTTTTCAGTCACCCTGGCCTTTGCTCATGACTGCAAGTTCGCATCTCTCGGCCACAACCATTTTCCCCGATGACGGCATGTTCACATCACCTGGCCCATAACATCATCTGGATTGTAGTGATTAAGATATTGTTAAGATATTATTAAGAGGAATACCACAAGGAGATTATTGGACTAATAGCAAGCCTGTATACTGGTACTGAAAAGTGCTGTAAAGTGTGGTGGGGGCCTGTCGAGCTTCTTTCCTGTTAGTTCAGGAGTGAGGCAAGGCTGTGTCCTTGCACCAACTCTTTTCAACACTTGCATGGACTGGATACTGGGCAGAGCTACTGTTCAAAGTCATTGTGGGGCAACGCTGGGCAATATCAAGGTTACAGACCTTGACTTTGCTGATGACGTTGCCATTCTATCTGAGTCTTTGGAAACCCTAGTGGCGGCTCTCGATGCATTTAGCAATGAAGCAAAGCCCCTGGGTCTAGAGGTCTCCTGGACCAAGACCAAGGTCCAGGAATTTGGGGACTTGATAGGAGAACCTGTTCAGTCGGTACGTGCTTGCGGCGAGGACATTGAAGTCACAGAGAGCTTTACATACCTTGGTAGTGTAGTTCATAACTCTGGGCTGTCAGACCATGAAGTCAGCAGACGGATTGGCCTGGCAGCAGGGGTCATGAACTCTCTCAACAAGAGTATTTGGAGATGTCGGTACCTGTGCAGAAGGACCAAGCTTCGGGTTTTCAAGGCCCTGATAATGCCAGTTTTGCTATACGGTAGCGAAACCTGGACATTGTCCTGTGCCTTGGAGGCTCGTCTTGAAGCCTTTTGCAATAGGTCCTTGCGCCAGATCATGGGGTACTGTTGGCGGGACCATGTGTCCAACCAACGGTTGCACCGTGAGACTGGCACAAGCCCTGTTATCTGCACAATCCGTGATCGCCAACTCAGGCTATACGGCCACCTGGCTCGCTTTCCTCAGGATGATCCTGCCCATCAGGTCGTCTCTATTCGAGACAACCCTGGGTGGAGGAGGCCTGTGGGACGACCGAGGAAGTCATGGCTTGGGCAGATCGACCAAACCTGCCGTGAAGAACTAGAGATGGGCCGAGTCCCTGCCTGGCGTCTAGCCATGAGGGATCCTCGTAGGTGGAAGCGAAGGGTGGATGCGGCTATGCGCCCCCGTCGGCGTCAGCCCCATGATGATGATGATGATGAAGATATTGTGGACAGTGAGGGGCTTGTTGATAAACAGAAGTAATAAACTTTAAACCAGAAGAAGAAGGATTTGGTCCAATTTGCTACATGGTTGCAAAGCATAGATATTATCAAAAGCAATGATGGTAATAGAAATCATGGAAATTTTGAAATATGAATATGGACAGATATAGCACTGTAAAAGGTAGCCTTTAACCTATTAACCCATTTACGACGGGTGTCCCATATATGAGACACCAGAAAAATAAACATCGCCAGGGGTCCGACCAGTGTGGTGTTGGATCAGAGCTTGCGCTCCAAATATGTTGCAGGCCATGGCTGGCTTGCGGGCAGATTCCAGGTCAGCCCCATGTGCTAATTTTAGCCACCTGGAAAATATTATTTTCGGCTTCAAAATATGCTGGCGTTAATGGGTTAAGAGCATAGAGTAAACAATACTTAAATTCATTTGATGTGGATGATATGTATTCCATATCACAAAAATATTTAGCCGAGAAGCTGAGAGCCTGGGTAATAGGAACTTGTCATGAGATATTGTGTCTTAGTGGTGGGTGACATGTTCATGGAATCACTGTGATCATTTAGGAAGTAGCTCTTGCATTATTTGTACCAGTAAAGGAGGGTACCATCAGTGCGTCATGAATAGAAGAGCACCAACTTTAGGGAGGACTCTCTTTCCAGTAAACCGTAACCTGTTCTTAGCTTCCTTTACCAGCAGGGTAGGGTTTGTTGTGAAAATTGAAATATTATGAAGTATTATGACATATTTTACCAGTCTGATCATTGAAAACAGTCTATTCTTGATACATCATAGATGTAATAACCACGACTTGCAACCTGCAGCTCAGAATAGGCAAACCCAGCTAAATAGCAGCCACTCATCAGCTCCCCTGTTGATCTCTACTCTATCTTCAACAACCAGCCAAACCTGTGGGAACACACCCACAAAATCACTCCCTTAAGAGATACAGACACCAGTTATGTAGTAGATGCTTCTTTCGTCTACTATAATAACAAATGACAAATGAAGATCTTGGAAAATGGTAAAATCCGATAAGTAGAATAAGAACTAATGGCATAGCAATGATCCGGCAAGGGTTCTTGATGCTGTGTACGAGAGTTGGTTTGGGCTGGGTCTACAAGAACACACCCAGGAGAGTACCACTCAAATAAGCCTAATACCTGAAATAAGCAGTTGTTTTGGTTTAGGGCATAAGATGATCCAGCATCTAGTATGCTCTTAGACTAGACAATTTGAAAGATTTTGTTCCCATATTGGTGCTGTATTATACCTAAAATCTTGGTAGTTATAATGAAAGCAGATTCTACTTTCTACTTTCTGTTCTCTCTCTCTCTCTCTCTCTCTCTTCTCTCTCTCTCTCTCCTCTTCTCTCTCTCTCTCTCTCTCTCTCTCTCTCTCTCTCCTCTCTCTCTCTTTAACCCACTTTCTCTCTCCCTCCCCTCCATTCTCCCTACTCCCCTCTCTCCTCTCTCCTCTCTTCTTTCCCCTTTCCCCAATCCCTTCTCTCTTTTTCCCTTCTCTCCTCTCTCTTTCTCCCCTCTCTCCTCCCTCTTTCTCCCCACTTTCGTCTTGTCTCTCTTTCCCCTTCTCTCTTTCTCCCCTCTCTTCTCTCGTCTCTCTGTCTCCTCTCTCTGCTCTCGTCTCTCTTTCTCCCCTCTCTTCTCTCGTCTCTCTTTCTCCTCTCTCTCCTCTTGTCTCTCTTTCTCCCCTCTCTCCTCTTGTCTCTCTTTCTCCCCTCTCTCCTCTCATCTCTCTTTCTCCCCTCTCTCCTCTCGTCTCTCTCCCCTCTCTCTCTTGTCTCTCTTTCTCCCTCTCTCCTCTCGTCTCTTCTCCCTCTCTCCTCTCTTCTCTCTTTCTCCCCTCTCTCCTCTCGTATCTCTTTCTCCCCTCTCTCCTCTTGACTCTCTGTCTCCCATCTCTCCTCTTGTCTCTCTTTCTCCCCTCTCTCCTCTCATCTCTCTTTTTCCCTTCTCTCCTCTCATCTCTCTTTCTCTCCTCTCTCCTCTCATCTCTCTTTCTCCTCTCTCTCCTCTCATCTCTCTTTCTCCCCTTTCTCCTCTCATCTCTCTTTCTCCCTTCTATCCTCTTGTTTCTCTTTCTCCCTTCTCTCCTCTCATCTCTCTTTCTCCTCTCTCTCCTCTCGTCTCTCTTTCTCCCCTCTCTCCTCTCATCTCTCTTTCTCCCCTCTCTCCTCTCATCTTTCTTTCTCCCCTCTCTCTCTCTCTCTCTTTCTCCCCTCTCTCCTCTCATCTCTCTTTCTCCCCTCTCTCCTCTCGTCTCTCTTTCTCGCCTTTCTCCTCTTGTCTCTCATTCTCCCCTCTCTCCTATTGTCTCTCTTCTCCTCCTCTCCTTCTCTCTCTTTCTCCCCTCTCTCCTCATGTCTCTCTTTCTCCCCTCTCTCCTCATGTGTCTCTCCCCTCTCTCCTCACGTCTCTTTCTCCCCTCTCTCCTTTCATCTCTCTCCCTCACTCATGTCTCTCTCCCCTCTCTCCTCGTCCCTCTTTCTCCTCTCTCTTCTCCCCTCTCTCCTCTTGCTCTCTTTCTTCCCTCTCTCTCTTGTCTCTCTTCTCCCCTCTCTCCTCTTGTCTCTCTTTCTCCCCTCTCCTCCTTGTCTCTCTTTCTCCCTCTCTCCCTCTTGTCTCTCTTTC